TGAGCTTTAATACTAACAGTCTTCAACAAGCCGAAAGCGAAGTTCCTCAGTTCTTAGGACCTAATGACCTAACTAACAACGATAGTGTTGCTTCTGGCCTTTTGGAAGGACAGTATCCTCAATCATCTGACCATCATACACGAGGGACAGTAGCGAGAGCTTTGTCTGAAAACTAAGCGGAACCTCAAAGGCGAGCAAGGAGCTGGTCTAGCTCATCAAAAGTGCATCATATAAACATGGACGATTCTCGTGGCCTGGACATGTCCCATTTTACTAAACTGAGAGAAGCGGCTTCAATCTTGGCAACACCACCTAGTGAAACGCTCTCATATTTGTTAAGTGAAGGCATCATCCCAAACGATTGGCGCGAATCACGACAATTTTTAAAGGAGAGTGACACACTAGCGGCCGGTTGCACTCTTTTCAATTACACCGAACGTCACAGAGTCCATGGAATGTGACATTCTGTCCGACTATTTATGATCTACAGACTCTTTTTCGCACTAGCAACGCGCTTTTAAAGAGAAGGCATTGCTGTAAAACCAGCCCACTGACTGCAATTAAGAGATAGAGAGACATCCTAAATCATAGGGAAGGCTGCTGTGATACAGCTTGACTTATCGAATTCTTCTGATACTGCCCTATACATGGAATGTATCATGCATAGAAAGTGCTGGTATGAACACTCCAGTGAAACACGAAATAACAATGTTTTGATTGCAAAATCATATATTAATATAGGCCATGTCTTGAGTCATTCAAGATCAGTCATCCACATCTTCAGAATACTACGCAAACCCAGTGCCAGCTGACGGCTTGGGGTAATATCCGTATTACTCATGACTTGATACTACGGAAACTAAAATCCTCTCGCCCAGGATGGCTGGGCGTGGTGGCTTGAGCCTGTAATCTAGCTACTTGGAGGCCAGGGTGCGGGATTTCGCGGGACCGGGAGTTCTGGCATGTGGGTGCTCATGTTGATCGGGCGTCCACGCTAAGCACGGCGCCGATATGGATGACCTGTCGGAGGACGGGTTGTCCAGGTCGTCTAAGGAGGGGCGGACCGGCCCAGGGGGGAAACCCAGCAGGCAAAAGTCCCCGCGTGGTGCGGTAGCGGGATAGCGCCTGTGAATGGTGGCCATGTGACAGCCCGGTTGGCGCGTGAAGACCGCCTCCTTTTCACCATTACACACACACACACCACCACCACACCTTACCATCATACTCTACAAATCACCTGACTTCCTTATACAATCCAACAATGCATGCACCCTCCGCATCGTGCTCATTCGCTCCCTAGCCAATCTCAATACATCTCACCAGAACCACTCATTGAACAACCCACACATCTAGGCATACTCGGGAAAAGCTGGCTGGTTTTCGACCTGGACGTGGTTGTATAGACCACATCTTCACACTACGACAGGTCCTGGAACACAGACAGACATTTGGACGTCCGACAATAGTCGTGTTCCTGGACCTAAAAGCGGCATTTGACTCAGTGGATCGTGAGGTTCTGTGGCAGTGTCTGTTATTGAAATGTGTACCAATGAAGTGCATTAACCTTATACAAACTCTCTATTCGAACATATGGTAAACTGTTATCTGAATTCTCTACATCAAGTGGTATCCTTCAGGGCTATCCACTCTCTCCATTCTTGTTTAACTTTGTCGTAGACATCCTTAGAGTTAACTTTAAGGAGGTCAGATTGTTCAGGGTTTGACCTTTTACCAGAAAAATCGCTTGCTGATCTAGAATATGCCGATGATATAGTTCTTTTCGGTGAAGACCCTGACAAAATGCAGAGTCTTCTGACTGCCATAAGCAACAATAGGAGCATGTTCGGGATGCGGTTTTCCCCGTCGAAATGCAAAATATTGCCTCAAGACTGGGTTGCATCGGCACCTGAACTAGTGATGGGAAGTGAAGTAGTCGTGTGTGTTGATCACTTCACTTATCTGGGAAGTCTCATCAATGCTGATATCCTGGTGACTGACGAAATCTCAACGCGGATACAGAAAGCTCGATTTGCTCTTGCCAATTTACGCCGTTTATGGCGTAGGTGTGATATCCATTCGCTAACGTAAGGACGGGTGTATTAAGCAGCAGTTAACTTCGTTCTCCATGGATGCGAAACATGGTCGTTAAGAGTAGAAGATGTTCGTAGGTTACTAGTATTCGATCATAGATGTTTAAGAAGCATTGCTCGTATACCGTGGGACAACCGAGTAAGCAATTCTGTCGTTAGTAAACGGGTGCTAGGTAAGGATGGCAGATCAATAGATGAAGTATTGAAACTTCATCAGTTGAGGTGGTTGGGACATGTGTTACGTATGCCTAACCACCTACTGCCTCGACGAGCTATGTTTTGTGGTGTAGGAGTAGGTTGGAAGAAAGCTAAGGGCGGCCAAACCAAAACATCGCAGAAATCCATGAAGTCACTGACAAGTGAACTGAGTCATGTTGGTAGATGTAGACTACCTGGTTGGGGTCAGCGAGACGAAAGTCACCAATGATGAATCACCTTGAACGACATGGCTCAAAATCGTTTGCAATGGCGCAAGTGCATCCATTCATTGTGCTCTCTCAAATCCTAATCTTCTGGATTCGTCAGCACCTCTCCCTTTATCTTTCTAACCTTATCTCATTGAATTATACTTCTTGAATAATATGTTCAAACCCTAGTCTTCTTCGTTACCATTAATACCTCTACCATTTCTATCACTATGGGATTTGATTTGACATTTGCGTCTCTGTGCTAATGTGGTATGACAACCTGGTCTGATGTACATACGTACGAAGTTCTACGTTGCAACTGACTGACGCCCAGGAAAGTCACCAGGTTATGACAATATCCGCCCTATAGTCTTGAAACAATGTGCAGAAACCCTCTGCTCACCGATATGTGACCTGTTCAGGCATTCACTGGACTCACACTGTTAGTTATTTTATAACTTATTGTAGTTATGTCATAACTAACCACTCAAATTGTGGTTTAAGCGCCTACCACGTGATCTGGTATGACGTGTTTGTAAACCTTCTTTGTTGTAAATGACCTACAGGTTGATTGACATTATTATCTTATTATATTGATATGACTCATAACTTCACTCATTTCCATAAGACACGCTATATTGGTGGGTCCGTTTGCTCGTCTTACATGATAATTGTAAGTTCCTTATTTATTGTACTAATTTAATTCTTTTTATGTTTAGAAAGAGATAAAGTTTAAAGTGAAGTTGATCTTGTTTCAACTATAGCTTTCCCATAGACTCTGTGCTCGCCAATATTGCGTTTATAGTTCTAGGAGTTCATCTGTAGGACAAATTAAATCCAATGCACACTAACTCCCAGCTGAATAGAAACAAGCTACTCAATCTTCAATCATCAAAGGAGGAGATAGAAATGACCCAGTATGTTACAGACCACTCGTACTACTACCAATACTATAAAATGTAATGGAAGGGCTGGTGAACGAACAGGTGAGGGAATACGTGGATAAGAATATATACCCCATGAAGCTCCACACGGGTTTCGGGTTTATTAACAACCTGTTAGGTTCAGTTAGCTCACCTGCATTGATCTACGCAGACGATGTGAAGATCTATAGGTCCATTTGAAGCGAAGACGATTCGACTGAGTCTCTAAAGGACCTTACATCGATTGAGGAACGGGCGGTGAAAAACGGTTTAGGACTACACCAGCCAAAATGTCACGTCATGTACATTCTGCCCCACATGACGCAAACGATCTTCACCCTCAGTGGATGTACGCTAGCTAATTTCTCCCCTGAGCGCGATCTCGGTTCAGTAGCCACAGAAAGCTTCAACAAAAGCCCGAACTATTTAGGGGAAACAGCCAAGGCGAATGCAGCTCTTAAATTTAAGCGAAGACAACTTGGTGCTATCATCCCATCATTATTCTTAATATTATTTAAGACATACGCGCTCACCCCCTCCGCTTAAAAGCGACATAAATTTCTTGGATCTAGTGCAGAGACGAGCAACGAGATGGGTGACGGGGTTGAAGAACACACCTTAAGAAGAGAGACTCCAGTTCTTGGGATTATTCCCACTGAGTTACAGGAGAATCAGAGGTAATCTGATCATGGCGTACAACATATTAAGCACGCCAAACCATCCCAACATGAACATCTTACCAATGCATCACGACCACTTTCGAGTCAATCCTCACATCAAAGAGCGAATACTCAGGTTCGTACCAACTTATTCTCATTGAGAGTCGTTGCAACTTTGAGGTGACCACGGCCCCCTTAGTGGACCGTTTTAAGAAGAGACTTGATAGTCTCGTTCTCACATACGGATTATCGTCGCTTCGTAGACAAGCTGTGCCCGATATATGTCTTGAGACTTGTTAGTTGTTAGTATTGTCATCTCCTCAGATCACTAACTTTATCTATCTTGCTTATTATCTCTGTTTCCTCTTCCTTGCTTACACTTACATAATAAACTAAATAATCTACTTATTCACTTAGTTCTGAAATCTTACTCTTATTAGCATCATAATTTTCTCCTTATTATTATTGTCCACATTACAACTGACTTATCTCCGGTCTAGTAATATAATAGCTGCTGGTATCCAGAAACCCTACTGCCCTGAAACAAACGTTTTCATTCCCGAGACATACAAACTCACGACCAACTGCAAACTGACTAGAACTAGACAGTCTGGTGACTAGACCCCGATTAATTGGACACTACCAAACAATCGAAACCGTACCGAAAGAACAAGAATCGAGCGCAAAGAAATTAATTGGTTTATACTAGCTCATGAAAAAGATATTGGATATTGGATCCCCGATCTGATGATTAATCATCTCCTAACTCAGCGATTACAGTGAATAATACGACTGAGATATATTCTCTTTCCAAACAGATGGGAACTTTACGAATTCTGTGCTTGTCAGCTGTTCATATGCACTATTGTTTAAATTACCGCCTGAAGGCTTTTGTCGCTATCGGCATCGTCATTTGAAATTATGTCAAGAGGTGTTAGCAGGTTCCATAGTTCACGTTCTCCTGTCAGGAGGTAGGATTTCTAATCTTCATTTATTTTCCAGTGTGTCTAGATGGTCATCTTTCGGTCAAAACCCAAAACGTGGAAAATTAGGAATGGACATGGATTTCGCGGCTCCTGACTGGAAATCGGCAGAACTACCAAAGTTCGAAAAGAAATTCTACCAGGAGCATCCACTGTCAGCTTCTAGATCTGAGGAAGAAGTAGAGGCGTTCCGCAAAAAGTATAAGATGTCACTTTCTGGAAGAGATGTCCCTCGTCCTGTACTGTCATTCAATGAATTGAACGTCCCTGATTACATACTTAGTGTGATAGCTAAGAATGGATGGCAGCTTCCTACTCCAATCCAGTCACAAGGATGGCCTATGGCGCTTTCCGGTCGTGATGTAGTTGGGATCGCTCAGACAGGTTCAGGGAAGACAGCATCATTTTTGCTTCCAGCTGTCATTCATATAATGGCACAGCCGCGATTATTGCACAATGAAGGCCCAATATGCTTAGTCCTTGTTCCCACTAGAGAACTCGCACAGCAAGTACTTACTGTGGCTAAAGAATTTGCTGATGCTGCGAGCTTACGCGCTATGTGCTTCTACGGTGGTTCTGCCAAAGGCACGCAGTTTCGCGAAATGCAGAAAGGTGGTGAAATCTGTATCGCAACTCCTGGGCGGCTTATTGACTTTATCCGAGTTCAAAGGTATATCTATATTTTAGGTCTTAACTCGCCTTTAGAAATCTTTTATCTAGAGTAACTTATTTGGTACTGGATGAAGCGGACAGAATGTTAGATATGGGATTTGAACCTCAAATCCGTAAGATTATCAGCCACACACGTCCTGACCGCCAGACGCTCATGTGGTCTGCGACGTGGCCAAGAGAAGTGCAAACACTAGCCAGAGAATTCCTCACTGACTATATACAAGTCAATATCGGGTCTGTATCGCTTCACGCCAACCCCAATATCACACAAATAGTTGAAATAATGGACGATTGGAGTAAGGAACAGCGGCTTATCGAACTTCTTGCCAGTTTCGGACGGGCACGTACACTTGTATTTGTTGAGACAAAACGGCGGACTGATCAGTTAACAAATTCGCTTAGGCGTCGTGGGTTTTATGTAGAAGCGATGCATGGCGGAAAGCAACAAAGGGATAGAGAGCTCACTCTTGCAAGTAGGTAACTTTTTTGTGTGATATTGTGTCACTAGGTTTTAAAAGTGGAAGGATGAACATATTGGTAGCTACAGATGTTGCTTCTCGTGGTCTTGGTAAGTTCAGCATTAATCTAGCTGAGTTTTTGAAATGCATCTTAATCAGATGTCTAAATCAATTAAATTCCTTTTCTGCTGTAGATATCGACAACATCGAGTACGTAGTCAACTTTGATTTCCCTAATCAGACTGAGGATTACATTCATCGCATAGGGCGGACTGCCCGTAGTGACAAGACAGGAACGGCATTCACTTTTTTCACGTACAAGAACGTAAGACAAGCTCGTGATCTGATTGACATACTAGATGAAGCTAATCAAGAAATAAGTCCAGAGCTCATTCAACTGGCTGGGCTGTCCAGTTACCTCCGGAAGTCTAGCACAATAAAAAAAAGTGAGTTTCGCCTCATTCTTCTGATGACTGCGTTATTTACTATATTAATTAGTGTTCAGTAGTCAGTAAAACTGCATTAAGTCTCCTAACAATCAGCGTATTCACCAGAGTTACTTGACTGGTTGCTGATGACTAGTCATTTCAGTTTAGCGCTTACAAAATTTCTTCTGCACAGCTATTAAATTGTTTCAGTACGTGGTGGGAAAAGCTATCGTCGCTTTTCTAACAAGCATTACAATTTGATTTAGTGCATCTGTATGCGCTGACGTCTAGTAAGTTTCTTTCACTAGCTGTGTTTTAGATTGCTCCTACTTGATACGGCTAGCAGCGCAATATCCAAGTATATAAATATGTGGTATAAACAACGTGGCAAGTTCACTTAACACCTTTTTTAAAGTTGTTCACGCTCCTACTTCAGTACCTACACACTAAACGAGTCACTCCGATTTTTATTACAGTGACTCCCAAACATACTTTTTGTACTGATCTGGGTGGCAGTTGTTACTTAATGGGTGTATTTCCGAAATTCATTAGGTAAACTTGAACAAAAAATCGCGTTTGTATTTATAACTTTTTTTTGTTGATTAACATGTGATCGGTAGTTTTTGCTAAGAGGTCGTTTCTAGTCAGATTATTCTTTTGAACTTATTCCTTATCACCATGATAGGAAACGACTAGATCTCTATTTACCTGAAATTTTGACTGGTATTACGAATACCAGCTCAATGAAACTAATTTGTACACCCAAAAAGCTACTGCCGAACTGCCTTCTACCCTTAGGAGTTGACAGTTAACTTGCCGTAGAATCAGGATTGGATTCAATATGTTTTTGCCATCCATCAGTTGAATAGTGATGGAGTATATAAAATCCTCAGTTTGTGAGAAAATGAATACGTTTACTTTTCCCACGAATCTGTACACTTCAACAACTGGGTATTGTTTTCACTACGCAGTGTGCTTGACAAGAATCCTCACAGACAAAGTTCCAAGCATCCAGATCTGTGCAATTTCTTGTCTGTTTAAAAGCAAAGTGTACAGAAACTTCGTATTAGTTCAATTTAAAAACAACACTGAAGTTCTATAATTTTAACCGATTGTCGTGTAATTTGTAGTTTTTCAATGCTCTGCACCGGAAGCCGATGCAGATTTAATCTGTAGATGCTTTTTTAACGAATCATAAATTCGAAACAACCTTATCTTCTATAGATCCATCAGCCTTCCAACAAAAGCCACCTGGTCGTATTACTGGCTTTGGGAATTCATCTACAAGCTTCCCAACACAAGATATTAGAACTGTCAACTCTGGAATTTCATATCAAAATGGTTCATCTGCTATGAATAAAGTTAATCCAGCTGCTGAAAATCCTCACTTGCCAACTGGCCAGTTTTCCACAACGTTCAAATCTACTAGCGACCAGTTCGTTGGTGGTCGCAAACCCACTCTTAGTAGTCAGACTACTTATGGAGGACTACCACAGCCCATTCCTGTAAATGACACTCATGTTGAAGCTAGCTTTTCGAAGACTAGTGTGCCTAGCTGTGTAAATCTCTCAGTGAATGAGACAGGGAAATGGGATAGGCATGTCAGTACGGAGAAAGTTAGTTCTATATTAACTACACCTATTCCTGTCGTTCAGAATTCAAGTATAGTAAATGAAGCAGGTGATCAACAATGGCTCACTAATCAGTGGGGGACCACCAAAAATCAGGTCCAAACTAATTGGAATCCATCAATTCCTGACGCTTTGTCAGCCAATGGTTCGTTTGCTCAGCGTTCTGTTGGTCAAGATCCTAAACGGCCGACGCTTATGGATCCGTCTGCATCGCATGTCAATTTAGTAAATCCCAGCAATGATGTAATCGTACCGGGTATTAGACCTCGAGGTACCGTAAACAAATTGAATGGGCCCTCGACAAATATTCCCCAATATGTACAGCCATGGCCAGGTTTTGTTTCAAATCCCTATTCATATGCCGCGCCACTCCCTACTGCTACGGACGTACCAGCTACACTTAACTGGGGTTCTGGATGGACTCCAAACTTTCATGGAGGTTATTAAATGACATACTTACCATTTGCTAATGTTTGCAAATTGATCTATCGAGCTGAAAATATTTTTTGAGGGGCTGTCGACTTCCTTATTCGGCAACCTCTAACAAAATTGTTTCATTTTCTGCATTCGTGCAAAAGCAGTACGAATAAAAATATAGCTTTCGTTGAAGCCAAGAAAGCGTTATCAGTAATTTTACGGTTTTTGATTTTCTTTTCGTGATTAGTATGCGATATGTTAGCTTGTTCGAACAATATGAACTTTCAGAATCTGCTAAAAACCCACTCCAATTTCAGCATCGGTGTGTGCTACTTTCTCGATATGAAATATTTTTCTCAAAGTAGTCACTAACTGTATGTGGGTACTTATTTCCTACTGTTTCGCTTTCCTCATGTTTCAGGTGCCTTAGATTATATTTCGTGTTAAGAAATATTCGAACTCAACCCACGTTTCATCAAATCGAAAAGACACCATTTAAGGTTAAGTAGGGCATGAATTATGATTTGTATAAGCTGGTTCTATCGAGAGTTTTATTCTCTGATCGGACAAGAACATTGTAGTTCAGCAGTAAATTACTTTTGGTGTAAGAGATACGGAGAGTGGCTCATGTTTTAACCAGACTATTTCGACTTTTGGTTGCCTACGTTTTGATGAATCCTGAAATATGTATCGCTCAATATAATTTCCTCGTCCTGCGTTAAACATTGTTCATTGTGTTTGCTAAGGTTTCTCTGATTCTCCATGTTCCTAACTCTAGTTTGGAAACATTGGAAAGATTCTATAAACATTTAGGTTTGTCTTGGTATCAAGCTGATAGCTTAAGTGAACGATACAGTGTATAACTTGAGACAATTTCGAATCTTCGGCTTTCAACATAGGTTAGTTTTCTACGGGATGGGGTAGCTAACGCCATGTCCGCCCCTTCTTTATCCGTGGTTAGGACCGGCTGTAACCTCAGGAGTGCTGCTGGCGGAGTATTCAGTAAATACTCAGCCTCGAAATCAGCAGGCGGGATTCCTTGAGGATCGATCATGTATACTGACTAAATCGCCACACTACGTGTCATCGTGGAAAAATCAATTGAATGGGGTTTACCACTGTCCGCCAACTTCATTGACTGCAAGAAAGCATTCGATAGCGCTGACTGGATGACACTGAAGACTTCGACACTGCGGTGCATCTGAGAAGATCGATCATCAACATCATGCAGAATTCTTATGGTAGCTTAAACTGAGAAGTCGTGCAGGAATGACGGCTCACAAGCTCGTCCCAAGTGAAAACCGGTGTCAGACAAGCTTTGGGTTATGAAGACGTCAATATCTCAGGGGAAGCACGCAATACAGTGAACAACTCCGATGCAAATAGACGATTTGAAGTTCGCAGATGGTCTAGCTCTTCTATTTCACATAGCAACAAATGCAAATGGCTGCCAGTGTAGCAACAGCCTGTGCAGCAGTAGATCTCAACATATACATGAATAAGAGCAAGATCCTTTGATATAACAAAATGCACCAACCAAATTACACAATAGAGAATGTTTGGAAGAGATCGGAACCTTCATATACCTGAGCAGCATCATTGATAAACAAGGTGGGTCTGATGCCGATGAGAAGACAGGAATTGGCTAAGCAAGGGAAGCATTTCTACAGTTGAACAGTACAACATTATTGAATATTCAGGTTAGACTGCATTAAATCCCATGGTTTTAAGTTATTGGAGTATCACTACATCCGTTTTGTCAGTAGTTGATAAAACAAAACGGTTTTGTTTTACCCCATTTCCTGGTATTAAAAGTTTGACACGAATGTATCTATCCAATAGCGTTCTTGGCAAATTAAAATTTATAGCAGCTACTGAATATTTGTAATTCTATACTAGGCTGTAGACGAAATACTGGTTATCCAAACTTGATCTTAATGTCATCTCAAGAATCCGTTCATTAACGTCCATTTCCTTACAAATGACAGCTTTATGAATTAGTATCACTATCTTCCAGCCAGAATGGCTCAAAGAACATATTGGCTGACTTTATACAAAGGTTTGTAAATCCATCCACGAAGTAATTTAAAAATGAAATTTGTCAAATGCTATCAAATTTATATACTCTGCACATAACTCAGTCGTAAAGTGCAAGCAAAAGGAAAAGTTATATCTGAGTGAGCTAAATTCTTAAGGGTTTTAATGGACTTGGTTTCGATATTGCAGTCCAATAGAACACCAGTAGTTATTTAGTTTTAGCTGCCTATTATCATATTTGTAGTGTAAAACCCAAATTAGTGCTTTCAAGATTATTGAAGGTCGTCTTGACGTTATCTAACCCCTTGAGACTGTGGGGTCGTTACTAGGAATTTCTCAAGCTAATGCCTCACTCGTGATAGACGAGTGAGTTCTTTCTCAGGTCCCACGAGTCAACAGTAATTTCGATTCAAAAATACTCAAAATTCTGTTTTACTATCCTCCATCTGAGTGGTGTCTTGGGACGTTCTCCAGGAAGATAGTTCAACCGTGGTATAGAAGTTGACAGACTACCTACTAGTTTTCTGTTTCGGCCTAAGACGGATAGTTCATTGATTTATAACGACTCTCCACATTGATGGTGATTACTTTTAGAAGGTTTCAGTAAAGGGTCTCTTTACAGTCTACAGTAGCTGTCAAAGCTTGACAGTTATGTTTTTATTGAAAACACTAAATAAAAGAGGTCTGTGAATTAATCTCAGCGATTTGCGGTATTAAATATGTAACATCTTGAAGGCATTTTTAATTCATTTTAGCCGTGTAGTCTCTCATTCGCAAAGGAGCTAAGTATTAGAGGATTATCATAAAACTTAAGCTGCAGTTCTTGGTTTGTTACCGGACTTTGACGTTCGTCACTCCGAATCTTTAACAGCACTGAAAACAGAGTTTGACAATATTAGTTAGAGGAGGATTCGAATTAATGCCTCATGGATATTCAACAGCAATATCACGCTAATTATTTGAATTTAAGAATCTTGTAGTGAGGGGGAAATCGTCCTTAATAAGTAAGTCCAGTGTATAATGGTAAATATGAAAGGCTAAGTAGATTAGCTGTAAACTTCAAGTTAAGGTGAGTATAATTAAGTAAATCGTACAAATAAAATGCATAATAAGGATAAATTTATGACCTTTGAAATTTACTAATATTTTGGCAGCGTTTAAGCAATAACCAATATAACAGTTCACTATTCTTACATATGCTGCTGGTTAAATCGCCCACAACCTGTTTTAGTCATTGTAATACAGCACATTTATAACTGTAGAACCTAATAGTGAGTATGAAATTGTTGTTCGCTAGAGTATTACTTGTTTTCGAGTATTCTGGGTTTTTTGAAGTACCACAATCTTCAAGTACTTGGATACTGATTTGATACTCTAATTTCGCATAATATCAAATATCTTCACGTTTCAAAAAATTCGAAATCAACACATTTGACTTCCTCAATTGCGAGATGTCACGAAAATACTCGTTCCTTTGAGCTACTGATTATATGATACGTTGCTTGGTTTGCATACAGTTTCGTTATATCTAATATAGTGCTAAATTTGTAAACGAATTGCTCATCTCCAACATCAGTTCCTCCAGAATAACTTGTCTGTTTCCTCATTTCGACCTTATCAATTTCTCTTGTTTTCGATATTCTTATAGGCTGGGAAGTTCGAAATAAGTACCTAGTAGTAGTTATGAGCCAACATTAATGTGACTCTCTGATATCAGGATCTAACACTGCAAATCTGCAGTGTGAGTCGCCGTTCGTAACAGTGTATTTATCAGGGTTTCTTGGAAAAGTATACCTTACCTTTCAAATGCATGAAAAAGTTGCAGAAGTACTTCAGACAATATTGAGTGTCAATTTGACGTTAAATTTGAGTGACTTAAAGAATATGTGTTGTGATGGAAAGTTTATAGCCTTTGTAAATGAGTGGACGTGATTCATCGTGTCCTATATTTTACCACAATGCTATCTCAGTGAACTGAGGTTTGCGAAGACAGTTCGATTTGACACCGAGACATTCTCTCAAAAATAAAATGAAGCTTAAGTTTTTGAAGTTGTTATTAATTTACATGGTTATTAAAAACAAATAGTAGCAGTGACCCAGTGCACTGGTAATGGCTAAATACGGGTACATACGTGTAGACAAATCAACGATAGTAATAAAGTTTTCTGTTCCTTGATGTATGGACTTGGCCATTCAATCACGAAAGCTCGAGGATTTTATCACCAATAAATATCTCACTGAGATGTACGTGTTCCAAGTTTTTTTATCACTACGACTGGTCCCGATTTATGCTCTCAACTTCGTCAAACTTGGTAACTCAGCAATCGCAACTAGCTGTCAAACATCTATCAGATAATCAAGTTTAATAGGTAAGCTTAATAAGATTGAAGACCTGTGTTGGTTCATTGAGTTTGATATTTTCATGAATTAATTCACTTAGTCATCCCATTATATTTTGTCTTGAGTACACGTTTTCCCTTATTATAATCCGTTTCGTTTTTTCATCGGTCTGAAATATTTTTTGAAATTAGAAATGAAAGTTTTCTCTCACTCATCGCCAGATGTTTTGTAATACTGATCACCAAGAAATATCTTGTCTTATTTTTTGGTAGGTATTTTACTCTATTCTGCTTTGTAGTTTATCACTGTTTTGGTTTAATGTTTTTTTATGAGTAATTTCTACCGTCTGAAATTACAACACCCAAAGTGCCGAATTTGTGTATATATCCCGTTTATGTTTTGTTCATTCACTTTTATTACTCTACTGTTTATTTTTCATTATCCGATCCCGGCACATTAGTGCCCCAATTTCTCTAATGACTGGTAAATACTCAGTGCGGATTTTAGGATAACTTGTCTATTATCTTCAGAAAAGTTTAATTTTTCACGTGTGTGGTATGTTTATTTGTGTTTATACATTAACGAGTTCTCTTACACTATCTACTGCTAAGAGATTGTGGTTGTGTTGCTTATTCGTTATATTCAACTAATCCGAGATGTTCCTTTAACCTATTGACGTTTGCATTCTCTGCCCTCGCATCCGCAGTTTATTTTTTTGATTTGAAAATATGTACATCAAAATTGTTTTAACTTTTATTGTAATTATTAGTGTTATAGGTTTATGCGATAACGTTGGTTAAACTGTACATCTTGATAATGTACACAAACAGATTCTGTCAATACGGGAACTGGCGTATCTTCAACCTTTTGGAATTCGTAAACTTAAAATTTATCCTCTTTGAACGTATTTTTGTTTGAAAGAATTCTGAGTATCACGGAGAACCATTTATTCTTGTATATTTACCTCAGAAAAACCAACCATAACTACATGCGGAAATAGTCATCTTATTATTTTGGTCGATGTTATTCAACGTAGTCAAATTTTTTTCCAGTAAAAGTTTGATTTAACGTCAGGCGATCAAACACGGTTGTATGAAACTCTTAGAATTTTACAATTTTAGTGTAATTTACTTTTATTAGCCAAAGAAGCCTGTATAGAATCGTGTTTTTAAAGCTTATTTATGAAGTGAATTTGAGCCCAGTAATAAATTGAAATGCACTTGTCAAATCCTACTTGAATTTCTGATTTTTTAAGACTAACAACACGTTTATTGGTATCTTATGTTGTTATCTTGAGTAATTTAGTCTAGGCTAAAAATATTTCTTAGATGAACTGTTCAACTTCGTTACATAGGCTTATGAACTTTTGGTTTTCATTGTAGACTGTCTTATTAAATAATTTCTTACCACTTCCATAACACAGAATCAGAAAGGTAACGGCTATATTAGCTTGGATTTGTTAAATGACATAAGTTCGGATAGATTAACTTTCTTGCACTTAAAATGCTTTTAGGTGCTAATTCTATTCACTGGGTTGTCGCATCCGGATTATATATATATATTTATCGGAAATCACGTAAATATTTCGACTGTATAAAAGTTTATTTCGAAACGTTATCATTATTGTCATTCTCCACCATTATTCGTCAGGGATGCCTACTCTATTTTCAGTTAGCTTCGTCACAGACATTCTTTTATAAGTGCATTTCAGTGTCTCAGGATACCCAGTAACATAATTCTGTTTTAAGGAGACGCTCACTAAATTCAATCTTGTGGTCTCCATGCATTATCGGGATGCGTTTCTCTCTCTGAATCCAAACTTGCGAAATTGTCTGTATCTACTAGTGATAAGAGTCAGAGTAGTTGAGTGTGTTGACTGCTTAACTCATCTTGAAGGTCCTACTAACTCTGTCGTTTCAGTTTCTGACGAGATCTCAGCTAATATTCATATTGGATTTTGTGAGCAATTTTGAGATATAACTGGTATACAGTGCAGCAAACCGGAGAAAGAGCATGGTCTTGGGTAAATCTAGCAAACCCGACTACAGTTGCTACCTTGACATGGTCATCATGATGACCCAACCGGGCTATATTGGCTGGGACGCATTTTCCTAGTGTGACATCAGTAAGGTGTTTGTCTTGGACAACCAGTCTGCAGCGATGCCTCCTCACTGCCGAAGGAAGGGATTAAGGAAGGTAAACCCTAAAGATATCATACTTCACCTTACCCCAACGGATTTCCGTGACGCCTTGTGAAGAGTGGACCTAACGCTTCGAAAACTTCCCATTAGAGGTCGGACGCAACTTCAATCAGTTATTCCTCGGTTTTTGCAATCACTCTCGCATCGACCAACGCTAGTCCGTTATCCTTTTTAGTTTTCCCAAGAAGTGTGGACAGCCGAAAAGTGACATCCAATATATGAGACCAAACGGGTCATAATCAAATCCTTCTTATACCTGACTCAGCAAAATGGCTGATGAGGCCAAGTTTTCGTCGATTGAAGCATGTGGGATGTGTGGTTCATATTTTTATTTACCACTTATCTTGCTGCGAGACTGGTTGGAGTAGAGATCCGTTGAAGTACACTAGGTAAGTAAACAAAATCTTGCATTAGTCTACGAGGTCATGGACTGTTATACAGTATTACTAAGTGAAGATTACCTGTAGTTTAGAAGACCTTAATCACTATTTTTGCGACTCCCCTACCCATTGTCAATTTCATCTCTTTAGTCCAGCTTACGCTAACGCGTGGTCGTGTCATATTCTATTGATTTTGATCATCTATCAAGAAAATTACAGCGTTCGGGTTGTTTTTACTTATTTTTAGTAGTTTTACGACACTGTTCTATTACTTGTCTGGCTGATCACTTACTGAAGTATCGGTTCTTAATATCAATCACTTCGTAGATATCAAGTGGGTTCGTGAAACACGAATGTTGAAAATGTCTCACAAGTACTGGTCTCATATGTTGGGAACATACTGGAACTTCTCCGGAATCATTACATCCGAACACTGGCATACAACGACTATAGTCCTCAAATACGGCTATTTCAAAAGGAAAACGTCAAAACTTAAGGCATGCGTAATACGGACGAACTTTAGAGTTGTGATGTTATACAAGATTTGCTAAAAACCCGCTGTTTCTATTCGATTAAAATCCTTATAGCGTATATGGAAGCTGACTTTAATACGATTTATTTGATCTTGTTGCTTAATCAGAGCATATATCAACTTCACCTCTTCGTTCAGGATTAAAATATTCTTCGAATCGTAATCATTGGCTAAAACCGAAATACGAATACGCGCTTCCAAAAGAATATAAGAACGATTTTTAGGAGTATCACACTAAGGATATTTGAGCGTAATGCCTTTCATACATTATCTCATAAGTTTAAACCAATAAATTCGACAGTAAGATGTTAGCCTGTACTATATTTTATTACTTGTACCAAATACATGGTAAAGCAAGAACTGGAAGTGCTTAGGTTGTACGTTCATAAAAATGAATGTTACAGGGTTTTCTCTTGTAGGACAGCAAGGTACATATTACATTTATGACTATATACTATTGTTCTTTGTACTAACGTTTACATTCTCATTTGAATCTTCAAAGGTAATCCACCTTAACACTTAAGGCTTTTTAAACCGGAGCACATAAAGCTATTTGAAAGCATAACGAGAATCAACTAGTCCTATTCTTTAATGGTCATTTCCTTGTCCTACACATGCAGCAAGTATCTGTACAGTTCTTTTCAGCACACATGACTCCTATGTTTCGTAAAGATCTCGTATATAGTGCTATACTTTAAAGGCTGGCGTAGAACCCAACATAGTTGTGTAAACTTTCGCTTCTCCACCAATTTATAAAGTTTATGGGAAGTTGAATGTGATATGAAGTTACTGCCGTTTTTCACAGAAAAGACAAAGTCTTTTCCTTTTGAATAGTGCGAGAATCTCTTCATTTCCTTATTGTCGAATACTGCATTATATGTAGTAAATTTCTATAACATATCTCCAATGTAAGTTTCACTCCAAATTTTGTAGTAATGTTAACTGAAGGGGTTGTCAAGTTCCTAAACGTTTCAGGCCTTGTTGAACCAAAAATTAAATAACTAGCCTGAGGATTCCTTGGAAACATTCTGTTTGCCTAATGCATCAATGTCGGAATTGTCATCTTTCTGTGTGCATTTATCTAACACTGTTGCTTTATTCTATAAATGCACATCGTATATTGTATAAGATACAAAAGGTTCTTTTGATCGAAGTATTTGCAACTGGAAAATTGTTAGCGATAAGAGTTTATGTTCTTCTGACAAAAGAATTTAGCTAAGCAGACTTTAGTGTTAGTATTATTTTTGTCATGTTCTATCTCAACAGTGATGCATGAAATACGCAGTGACTATTTGTTCATCAACATAAGTTCGTTGTTACGCACTAAACACAATGCCTCCTCTCCACCATGTTTTATCCTAATTAACATAATTTAGTATTCACAATCTAAATACGAATATATCGAAATAGCACATTTGTAACTGACCAATCAAATTCTCTCCAAGCTTTATTTCAACTATATCGATTTCATCGTAGTTTTATTAATATTTTCTTGTCTCAGTTTCATAGATTTATGTACGTATATCACTTGTGTCATGTTGAAAACAACTCCAGCATCAATAATGGTTATTTACCTAATTCATTTATTTCTAACTGAAAGCGTATCTCGAAATGAACAACCGGAAGGTTATCGCGTAGAACGGACTGGTTTACATGGAAGGAGAGTCAACTTTACGTGGCACAGGAACGTAACAATCCGTAGCTGGGTTCAGGCAGCTGAAAAATGCTCCAGTTTGAACAGCTTACTTCCTAAAGTTAATGATATGCGTTATTTCTACAAGACACTTCAGTCGGATGATATTATTTCGCCAATAAATAGAACTCTTGAGAATACAACTCACAACGGTGTCGTCTTTTATCTTGGGGATGTTTTGGAGGCTACGATGGATTATCCTAATATCGAGAGTGGCGAAAGAATGTGTCTCACAATTGAGAAGGTTCCCGGATCGCAGGTAATTCATAATCTATTTTCCTCTTGAGTAAAACTACATATATTCACATAAGTGGTATAAATTCAGTACACTAAAGATTCAGTAGTTGGTTATATTAGAGAAGCAACGCAAACATAATGAATAAATGCTAGAACTTTGTCACTTATTAGACAGAAACTCCAGTGCTCTGTCTACGAAACCCTCTTCACGGCTATTCCGATATTACTTGACCTTTATGTGGTATGGTGCAGGTGTAGTTAATCGACATATCTTTCTGTAGACAGCATTTTCTCAGCTTTTACAATCACACGAGAACCGAAAATTCACTTTCTTGAACGTATGTTAGACAGTCAGTCAGCGTAGTTAATTGCATACATTCAGGTTCTTGTTGATCTGATATTTGCATCCGGGTATTACTAAGCAAAAAGCGTTGATCGCCAATTGATTGAGTGCGATATGCACCAGTCTGTCTCAGTCTGATTTTGACCAATTTGGTCTCGCGTGCTGTTATGGGTTTGAGGGCAGTTGTCACTTCCCGGCTGCCCACACCGTGGAAGGGTGTTTCTTGAGGAACCTGAAAAGGAAGATAGATTAGTGTCGGCCTTAGAGCGTGACCGCAGAGCCCAAGGGACAACTGCTTGAGGCCGGTCACGCACGGCCTTTTTATGAAATGTTTTTTGAGGATTAGCTCCGTTCTTAAAGGCGATATGCACCACTTTTGTGTTATCACACATGATCAAGGTACAACAGTCTTCCTCTGTCTAACATATGTAACCGGTCATTATTTTAACTTTCAAAAGTGTATGTCTAGTATCAAGGAAAGCGAGACTGGTTTAGTCAATCTAGTGCAACAAAGGACCCTACATATATCTGCATTAATTCTAATTACTACACCACATTAATACAGGTCAATGAAATTCTTAAGACAAATCTCAATGTAGCAGAAGCATTGACAGTATTTGTGGTAACCATTAGTTCTAATGGACTGATGATATTTCAGAGGGAAGTAAAATAGTTCACGCACTCAACTACCTCAATCACTAATGTTATGCAGACGTTGATGTAGGTTAGTCCTGAATCAACATTCTAATGGAGAGAAAGACATTCTTGCATTGTTGCACAAGGTGATTAAAGGACTGGATCACAGAGCGATTATGCTGATTGTGAAAAAGTATATCCGAATAGATCTCACTGTTATTTAACTTGACATGTGTTTGTACGGCGCTTTCAAAATGTGTCGATCCCCTATTCAGCAATATTTCATCGTGACAGATACTTTATCAGAAGTCTTCTTCTATGAATCAAAGGCGATGATAATGTCCAAAGATCTAGTGGTTGCTTTTCCCTTCAACTAGAATTATCAGAGGTTAATTACCATGAACGTAATTTACGTATGATAAATTTCTTGTTTAGTATAAAAAATATCCAATCTGTTCGATAGAGACCTTTCTTCTTTACATATATTACAATGACATAATAATGGACATGATTATTATTTGAAGTTTGACTAGTTAATTTATTTTTTCAGTTACATCTAGCCGAATCATCTGCGATAAAAAGTTGTCTAACGCATGCTAATCTACTTGTTTGTAAATCTGAAGTAGACAGTAGTGATACAGCAAATTACGATGAAGATTCGTACTCACATATATGTAATTTTGCAGATGACAAATGGTTTAATCCATTGCCAAAATGGATTCTTGAATTGAAGCAAAGAGCCGAATTCAGACAAGATCATATTTGCCTAAGAAAACTTCTTTTCTATATTACAGCTAGTAAGTAAGCTTTATATCAGCATAGATTTGTTAAATGCTAAAACTTTGGTATGAGTTATACCGTGTACAATTTTTCTCATCAACAATTTTAATATCCTGGTTTCTGAACAAGCAAGTGAAAAATTATCCACTCTCAGATAAATTAGTACCTATACTTAAGGGTATGTACTTAGTATAATAAACAGTACATGTATTTGTTGAACATCCTTCAACCACAACGACTATATAATGCTTTCAAGTTAGATTATATGCATAAATATGTAAAAGAGTTATCACTATACATCCTAATGAGATTTTTTAGTAAATAAGTTGGAACTAGATCAGTAACATTTTATTTTAGTGAATGTAAACTCGTATTTATATCGGACGTCGCAACAAAATATTCTGCCATATTAGACCAAAATTATAAATCTCGGTGCGTTTTTATGATGTTGGGTATGTTAATGTGTAAAATAAATCGACTTGTCAAGTAAAACTTGACAGGTTAACAACAGTGCCTGTTTTTCATCGTTTAGTTCGATAATTTATATATTTATCTTTCTCTTTTTAGTGTGTATGGTATCTCCACTATTAAGTACTGCCTTAAAAAAGGATTTCCCTGTTGTTTTTCCTATAGTTAAGTTAGAACTCGAAATTTGAATGGTCTTTATACCTCAGTAACACATGATTTCAGGTCAAGCAAAAAATAAAACGAGGTTCATCTGAAATATACTATATTTCGAACTTGATAAGAAATTTGATCTATATTTAAATTTTTTTATTCACACAGTATGTTCTGGGCTAATCGTCGTTATTTTCATTACAAGTACGGTAATCTTGGCTATTCGGTACAAAAGCCTACTTCTAAAAGTGAAGAGAAAACAGATTGGAATGGATGGAATAGTCTGGTCGCAAGGCTCTGAAATATCATCACAATGTCCTTTGGGTGAAACAGATGGAAGATTAGATATTCTAGCTGACTCAGCGTTTCGTCGTGATCCTAGTGGTTTCACAAGGGGAAGCTATAAAGAGGCACTGGTTAATAGCGGCTATCAAAGAATTTCGAATGGACGAATCAAAGGCCCTCGTACATCGGGAAAACCTCGACCTGGCACAGTATCGTGCTAATGTACAAGTACTTTTAAAGCTGACTGTATAAAACGTTGTAGGCGAATCGATTATGAAAAATTAAATTATTTTAAATAAGCATTTCGTTTTTGATATTCCAAATAGGATCATAGGCGCGTGCGTAATTTATGTCTTTTATGAGTATTTACATGTGTATTTTGTCCTTATCATACCGTATCATCAAATGGGTTAAATTTAAGATAGACTCGTGAAGAAGTCATGCACTTTTGTCGTAATCTGTGAACTGATTACAACGTACTCATTTAGTCGAATGCAATATAGAACAATCTACAGTGAATGCTATAATTTTTACAGTTATTACGAAATGCTTGAGCAAACTTTTAATAGGGAAAATGGATATACGGTGTGTCGCTGTAACATATAATGCTAACTGCACTTTTAATTTACAGATTACATTGTAGTGAAGTTGCGTTTTCTTAACTGCGTAGGAAAGATTTTATTTTGACCAATTTGGTCTCGTGTGCTGTTACGGGTATGAGGGCAGTTGTCACTTCCCGGCTGCCCACACCGTGGAAGGGTGTTTTTTGAGGGACCTGAAGAGGAGGATAGATTAGTGTCGGCCTTAGAGCGTGACCGCAGAGCCCAAGGGACAACTGCTTGAGGCCGGTCACGCACGGCCTTTTTATGAAAGGTTTTTTGGGTGTTAGCTCCGCTCTTGAAAGCCCTTAGTGGGCACTTTTACCTCCCAAACGCGTATACAGGATCCGGGTAGAGTCATTCAGTTCACCTCTTCTTTTTAAGACAAACAGCCAACTCGATTTACGCTTTCCGTATCTGAGAGCTACACTGCTGCTTCCCGTAGCCTCGCTGGTGAAAGTATAGCATTAAGTCGTAAGGCAGGACTAGCTCTCCAAGACTGGATCCCGGTAGGCAGTCGCTTATGCGCTGTCCGACTAAATCGGACAGTAAGGACTCGGAAAGAGGGAAAATCGCCGTCGCCTCTTTCGTGGTATTTACCTACTCTCCCACTGACTACAATTCAGATGAGGTAAAAGATCAGTTTTACAGAAACCTTTCTGACCTTCAAACGTTAAGTACTCCGGTGCAGTGATAGTGGCTGGTAACTTCAATGCTCAAGTAAGTAGACTGAGCGAAAATGAGGGACACGTGGGGTCGATCTCATGGTGTCGCGGCTGGTCGAACAGATAATGGAGACCATCCGCTGCAGCTTTGCTCAGATAACCACCTATTTGTAGCAAATACTGACTTTAAGCATAAGGATAAGAGGCTCGATAGCACACTGCCGCACCTCATGTTTTTGAATATTATTCTAACCTACCTTCCGGTGAACATCACTTACATAGTTTCCTATCTTTTTCTTAAAATGCTTATGAATTGAGTCTTACTGAAGGTAGGAAAGACGCTGCAAAGCAACCTCCTTTGGTTCTACCTATTGACAGCAAAGGTGAGAATATGTTTCAGGTGCGACTAGACATACAGCTAGACGGCTATACAAGTGATGCCCACCTTGAGGCGACTTGGACTGATCTTTAAAAGTTGTGGGAGACAGCAGGTAAACAAACCATAAAGCTAGTGGTGTTCGTCAAGAGTTGTTCTTTTTCTCCACTTTGTTTGACATGCTTTTAGAAACGACAGTTTCATCACGACTCTTCTGGTGTTAATCTTTTACCAGGAGATTCACTTGTTGACTTTGCAGATGATGTAGTTCTGTTTAGAGAAGACGCCGACAAAGTGCAAACAATTTCGGGATGCAAACATTCCCCTTGAAACGCAGTGTTGCTTCAGAATTGGCAACTACTGATAGGGAGTGAAGTAGTTGAGCGTGTTGACCGTCTCAATTATCTTGTGAGTATTTCAGTCCTGATAGTCTGGTGTGTGATGAAATCTCCGCACGGCTACAGAAGGCTCGAATAACTTTTGCCAATTTGCTTCACTTATGAAGTAGGCAAGTTATCCGTTTTCTAACTAAATGGTGAGTTTACGCACAGCAGTTCCCTCAAAATCGTTTGAAATAATATAGGTGCATCCCTTCTATCCTTCTCCGAATTCTTATCTTCTGAATTCCTCATCAACCTTTTTCTCTTCTTAAATTCCCTTCACTGGGATATATCTTCGACCCCTAATCTTCTCCATAACCTCTTATACTGCTATTACCTCTACCACTGTGGGATTTGAAATGAAAATGCTATCTCTGTGCTAATGCGGTATGGAAACTTGAACTGGTGTACGTACGTATCAAGTCACCAAGTCCTACGTTGCAGCTGACTGACAAAGGATGTTTGAATTATGACACAACTCACGGACTATTATTATTTTTAAGATTCGGCTCCTAAGAATCAGGATTCGCGTATCGTATCAGTACGTAGATTTTAGGTAATTTATTATTAGCTGCAATCAATAAACAAGATACGTTTTATGGGAAATTTCCCATCCTTCTCGACTAGACTATGTTATTAATTTTGTTCGTATATTCGCTTCTTCCAAACTGTTGAATTTTGCAGGAACTAGTTTGTGAATACTGTAAATAGTAAATTCTATTTGAAAGATTGTTCTCTTTGCGAAATATACTTAGATTGTGATGATTTATATCTTTTAAAAACAGGACAAAGTATACACAATTTTACATGATATGGTCTAGAAAACCAGGTTTCGGAAATGATTCTTATTTCTTTTCTACAACAGTTTTCGTTATTTCACGTATTGCCATTGTAGCGTAACTGGATTTCGGTAAATTGAACGTTAACACGACAGCCTGGTGTTTCTTTTCATCTAAAATAAACAGAATTTTATGAGGACATACATTACTTAATTATTTCTTTTACGTAGATATGAGGATTAGTATGAAAATTATATACGCCTTTAATAAAAATCTGCACACAACTTTAGAATGCCCGTCTTTAGCTAACATAGAATGACAGTAAGAATCTTTATTACGATCATAACTAAAAGAACAATATTTCTGCGTGAATTTTTTCATTTTGTAACTCAACACAAATAGTGAATTCATAATGATACAAAGCAAGCCACATACAACCAAAACGTTATTATAGGAAAAAGGCTTGTCATTCATTAAACCTTCCTATAAAATAACTGCATAAATTTAATTTTCTCCTAATTACCTGTTACTCGTTGTGGTGTATTAGGTTGATAACCAGTAATAATTAGCCTACTGTCCTGGGCTCTTCTCTACAGTTCTAACCAAGTATAATTCATTCTTTTGATGTCTCTTTCTAACTGGCACAATATGTTCTTTGATCTGCTTTAAGGATTCTAAGTAAAGGCTTGTTTTGTAATCTCTGCAGCGTTTATCCCTATCTACCTACCTCTAGCGTTTCTAAGTAATTTCGTTTTTAGCTGTGAGCTGCTTTACTCTTTGTCACAGTAGGTTACTGTCGATGGTGTCTAGCCAACGGATCTAGAGTATAATGTCCTGCACACACTGTTAAATACTTCTCTTATTTGATATATTGTAATGAGTTCCATTCAATTGATTAATCACCAATGATTATGGACTGGATGAACTCGTACGACTGAGAGATATGGTTACGTCGGAGGTTCGAGGCTAAAACTTTCTAGGATATACTTTTATTTGGTGGCAGTATTTCTGCGTTTTACAGTGCTTCTTTGAGGGAACAGATGCAACTATGTATTAAGATTGGTGAAAACTTTTAAAATGTCAACTAACATGGAATAGGGATAAGTGTTTACTATTGTAATTAAGGTGATTCCGCGTGTTTGAGCCATGTAGCTCTTTTCTTTTAACTGCATTGACATGTTGGAAACAGCCACCAGTTTTCACCATCGACGTATTATGTTTCGAATTTGCCGATCACTTCTTGTAAGGTGATACTAAGGATTCTCGTTCGGGTATCAGCATACTCAAGTTAATTCAAATTACACACAAATACAAGGCACTTGAACTGGTCTTCTGTCATGGGAAGCAACTAGAAGCCTTCACGTTCATGATTTAAAATTCCTGCATATTTCACCTAGCTATATTCTTGTTTTTTGTCATCTTCAAGCATTGTTAGCGGATATAAAAATAAAATACGACTGTTCTACAAAGATGTGAAATCGGGTTTTAATTCTTCCATCAAAACTAAGGTCTCTCGAACTCCTTGAAATAATAAAGTCACTGTAGCGTGGATGTTCTTCTGTTCCACGTTGTTGTAAAGTATTCTGACTTTTGAAATGTCATCCATTCTGCAGAGGTCAATATGGAGCAGGTCCATATATGTTTTCAACCATGAGTCAAATGAATGGCATGAACTACTGAATCGGTATGTGTTACATGTAATTCATCAGATGTTGGATTTTTCTGGGACACGCACATCTATTGCATAAGAATTTCCATGATTCTTATTTAAGACCGTTGAAACCCTTTCTCCTGATGCTTCATATAAGCTTCGAGTTGCCTAAGAGCGTTATACATCATTGTCTTATAGATGTTCGAGTCACGGGACTATGAACACGTTTATATACCAATTAAGTTCGGGGTAACCTAGTTAAAATAGGAATATTTGCCGGCGATTTCGTGGTATCGAAGAAATACCGAAATGTGCCAGAAGACAAGCGAAGGTACAGATCAACTAAAGCAAGATTGCGACCGGAAAGAGGAGAAGCGTGTGGCCGTATTGCAATGTCAGTATATATACAAAAAGTAAATGTCATTGCGTAAAACAAAAGTAAGAATGAACAAATATTTGATAAAACGTTCACTAGTACAGCTGATTATAATAATGAATGTTGCTATTCAACCCATCGTGTTTTGCTTCGTAAAAGTGAAATCACTACAGTCTTTCTCGCCGTCACTGATAAACCTGCTAAATGAAAACTCGATCTGACTTACTAACAGCTTTTAATAACTACAAGTTAAGTCTACACAGCAACTGGAACACAAGAGGAAAAGTGTGAAGTGCGGAAAAGAAAGCTTAAAGCTAAATTTAGTTTATTATACACAGAAAAACATGGGTATTTGTAGATTTTCACACGACCTTTGGTTTCCACAATTTGCTGGAACCATAATAAATAATAATAGCAATATATATAAATATACAATCAGAGTTTTGACAAGTGATTCTGCATTTTTTTAGACGTTTTTGAAAAGGTTCTATTTAATGTTGATCGGACTAAGCGCTTCCAATAGTTTCTGGGCCTTTAGAGGCTTTCATATAACATGAGATATTAATAAAATGCACAAGTATCAAAGTATTGAAAGAAAATTCTTATAATTACCTTGATCTGGGCATACATTGTTTTGTGTTTCATTTTGTGAAGTAGGAGTCGAACTACTACTACTTGTAATCTGACCATCTAGTAACTGAAGATCAGATTTTACCAGAGATATATCGGGATTCGAATATTCATGAAATTCATATTTTACATTTCCCGGAACAACAATTAATCTCCGATAAGAACCAGGGAGTGCAAAGTCTCTACAAAAACAACAATGAAAGTTCACTAGAATACAGATTTTAAATGAATATTAAGATTAAAATAAATAAAAAAAAATACAGATTAAGTAGTCATTGCCAATAAATTGTAAATAACAATGGGAAGGTATGATCAAATTTTTAGATCCTAGAACCTTTACGTTTTATATTTGTTTTAACTGAATAATTACCTGTGTTAACTGTATGTGCTCATGTACGTTTACAAAAAGCTTACAACTTATCATAATGCTGAGAAGAGCTATGAAGACACCATGGTTGAAATTTTACCGCTTCGTTTGAACTTTGATGAATTAAGAGGCCATAACATTGCAATTCTTCCATTATATACATGACAGTCAGTCATTCAGTCAGATGCAACGTAGAACTTCGTACGTAAGTACATCAGTTCATGTCGCCATACCACATCAGCACAGAAATGTAATTGTCAATTCAAATCCAATAGAAGAAGAGTTAGTAAGGGTATTAGAAGTAATCGGAGAGGTTAGGATTAGAAGATATTATTCAAGAAGTAGGATTAAATGAGAAAAGTTTAGAAAGTCAAAACTAGAGGTGTTGAAGAATCCAACACATGACAGGTATACACAATTACTGTAGCAGCTAAACTGATAGAAAATTTTCGATTCATTATTTTGTTTGATGAATGACTGGGTCCAAGTGTACAATACTCGTTGTGTTTTCATTTTAATGATTCTGGTTGGAAATATAATTTGAGTAACTGGCGATCACAAATACAATGGCGTTTAAGAAGGGTTATACGAAATTAGAAAGGAGTCTGTCATTATGAAAACATCTCACAAATAATTTATTTTATTATCAAATGTCAAAAATCTGGACAACACGGAAAATGTACTAGAGAATTGAACTTACTTAACTGAATGACTGAAATCTTTGATTGTCAAGCAATCTTCTTTTAATAATTCAATATACCAATCAGTACCTAAATCAGTTATTATGAGTAAACAAATAATCATTGCATAATGAGTATTCTACAGAATTTTTTGAAAAAGTAATAAAAGTATTGGTTAGATTATTCATTGAAGTTTTAAGAGTTGAAAATATTAAAAAAGCAAGACTAGATTGTTGTAAAAGTCTGAAAGGTTTTTGAATAGACAGACAGATACAACACAGAACTTCGTACATAAGTACATCAGTTCAGGTTGCCATACAGCATTAGCACAAAGACGCAACTGTCAGTTCAAATCCAATAGTGGTAGAGATAGTAGAAGTATTAGCAGTAATGGAGAAGATTGGGGTTCGAACATATGATTCAAGAAGTATAATTCAGTGTGATAACTTTAGAAAAAGAAGGATAGAGATGATGAGGAATTCAGAAAGTTAGAATTTCAGAGAAAAAAATGGATGAATACACCTGCGCCATCGCAAACGATTTTGAGCCATGTCGTTTAAGGTCTCTAACCATTGGTGAAATACGTCTCACGGACCCCAGCTAGGTAGTTGATACCTACAAACATGATTCAGTCCACATGTCAGTGACTTCATGCATTTCTGCCATGTTTTGGTCTGGCCGCTCCTAGATTTCATCCAACCTACTCATACACCACAAAACATAGCTCGTCAAGGTAGTCGGTGGTTAGGCACATGTCCTAACCACCTCAACTAATGCCAAATACTAGAAACCTTTAGGAATGGATATTATACTGATTTAAAAAGTTAACGTTTACCTGGATTTAGTAGGCTAGTGGATAACACGTTAGCTTTTTCGGCTTCCGTTAATGGATTTGAGTTTTACTATTAACAAATATATCCAAATAAATAGTTCCGAATAAGGCGAAATGTGAGTCTTGGATTTCACTACTAACTACAATGAAAATATACTAATGTCAGGTTATATGTTCAAACGTCGTTCTTATTTACCAATAGGAAACAAGCATTAAAAACTTTGTGTTTAGGCACATATACACATTAAGGTGAATCGAAATCTTGTAAAGGAGTGATTCATTCCTAATGTCATATGTACCACATAAAAAAAAAAGATAAACCTAATACTCAAGCAAATATGTAAACATCGAATTATGCAATATGTAAAGCACAGATAAAAACTACATTTACATTGATTTTTAGGATAATGTACAGCGTAACCAGGAACCGGAAGCACAACCGACTTTAATGGGATTTTCTTGATTTCATCTTCTCCAACTACAAGTGGATGAATGAATGATAATTTAGATGGGGGAGAATTTGTTGAGGATATTGAAGAATCATTCGCCTCTAACGCTGAATCGTCAAAGTTAATATCTAAAACAAAAACCAAAATGTATTAAATATTGATTTGTTTTTGTATTTAGAAATTTATTGAGGTATATAAACTAGAATGAAGAAAATGAATTAATTATTGAAATTAATTGATCATCTACGGAATCCAGTACTTATTTTTAAGCTAATCTCGTTTTGTATGAAGCTCAGCTCCATGAAATAAATTAACGGGAACACGGTTTATCCTTGAGACCTAGGGTTTGATCTTATGTGTTCTAACCGACAACTCACTGTACTGAAATATGAAAATGGAGTAAAATGAGTCTTCCTTGCTTACCTACTATTTGATCCAACATTCAAAATAGTACACGCTTCAACAATATCAAGACGAGAATAAGAACTAGAATATTTTTTTATTTAACTTAATTAACAGGCACAGTTTTCGTGTACTTTATTCAAAATTACAATCAGGAATCCTGTTCTTTACGATCCCACAGCAACAAACAAAAGTTCAATTTTACTTGTAGTAATTATGAACAAATTTATCAAACAATACCTGTGTATTGATTGATCAGTACTAAATATAATTAGTTTCGAGTTATTTTTCACCTGAGATAAATAGTTTGATGGAGGGATGAAGTAACAGAAATGAAACAAAATTTAGTTTATGTTTAGTCATAGTTTAATAGTAATAAGGTACATCCTTTTATGACGAAAAAGTTCATTTTGACACAATTAAGTCTAGTTTTCTTAATATTTTAAAAAGAGATCATTGTCGAAAAGCAGCTAACATATATCAAAAGACTGCATGTTAAATGTAAGGGTTAGTTAATCTTGACAGGATAATTGTCTTGCGCATCAAAAAAAATAATTGTTAACACGTAACATTTCCAAGTACTGTTTTGAATAATCAGAAATACATTTATCCATAAAAATAATTCAGATTTAATGACACTGAGGATTTCCAACAAATTTTCTGTCATGTAAAGTTTAGTTCATTATATAACTAGACTTAAGGCATTCATGACTAGCATTGCAGTGTTAGATCGGATATCATTGATAAAAATTAGTTTGATACTAACTTCTGTAATAAAATTATAAGCGAGAATGTTTTTGCCGATTATTACTTATAATATTTTAGAAAAAAGGACATTTTGAGTAAATAATTAAACTAATAGTGAATCAGTCAATCAGAAGTGGCCTAATACTAAAGCCACAGATTCTGACCAACGTCTAGCCATTGATCAAGACTATTGGCCAAAACCCCAACCAAATAGTCTGCACCTAATAACAATGCTCAGATCTGAAGATTGATGCCATCTTTTGATATCTCTCAATCTAATCCCATGGAAAATGAGAATCTATGTTTAATTAAAGCAGTATTATTATTAAAGGAATAGCTGACACTGTTGCATTATGCATGTCTTCAGTTGAAACCAATACAATACTCAATTAATCACTGTTGATAACAACGAATAATTGCCCTCTGTAATGGTTTGGCTGAATTAAGGAAATAAACAACTAAGAGATTACACAGAAATAAGGTTTTAATGGAAGTCTGACTGTAGGAAGGATGAATAATATGTATTGCTGACAAGTTCCAAATCAAACAATCAAACGAAATTGATTTCTTAAATGATATCTACACATGATCAACGCTGATACTCATTAAATAGCCTCTAAAAAACATGTTATATGTTGTCGAACAACATACCATCATCACAATTATCCGAAATTGTCACATTCTCATCATTATAATAGAGATCACCAGGTTTAGCAAAAAAGTCATCAGGATTCTGTTGTGCCATACGTAGACTTGCCACATGGTTCCATAAGAAAGATTGATAACTATGTACATAGAGTTGACGAAGACTTCGAGGAAGCTAAAAGTAGTTATTTTACCGACGAAAAAATACATCAACAATTTATAGTAATTTATAATTAAAATAAACAAATATCAACTCAATTCATTATTTAGACTCTTAATGTACATAAATCCATGTATCTAAACACATTTCATATGACTACACCAAAAGGCATAAGTTTATCACAACATTCTATGATCAGCTGATTCGGATATGACTACCAAACTAATTGTAGAACAGAAAATGAATGGTATGGTTACTTTATGCTGCAGGTTATCTAAGGCTAGCTTTAAAATGACAGATACAGTTTAACAACAATGATTGAACTTATGATGTTAGGTTGTCAACCTTATACATGGATTTTATGCAAGAACGTCTCAAACGAAAATACAGTAAGGTCTAGTTTAAATATTACTAATTAGATATTAAATCCAGCAACAATAATAACGTACCTCATTCGTCGGGCACAAATTGATGAACTGGGCTTTCGGTTATACTACACAAATGTTACGGTGATAAGTACTGAAGAAAGTTCACTGACTCTCCTTCATTATACAGGAAAACCATATTTAGAATTAAAAACGAAAGATTTGGATATTTGTTCTTCATCCTTTTAATTTCAAAAAATATACCCCTATCTAATGAAATATGTGAGAAGAGAACCCCTGACAAATACCTTAAACACAATCGCATAAATGTCTCAGAAAGGAGAGTGAAATCTCCTCACCCTCAGCCATACCAGGATATTTAAGGAATCAAGACTGTCTAATTCCGTTTTTAAATAAATATGAAAGAAAATCACTAGTAATGAATTTTTTTCATCTATTCTTATCTGTGCTTTTTACTATTTGTAAAATTTCACACTAGTTCTTGCATCCTTGATAAATTATACCATTTAAGATTATACCACTTAGTGCAATCGATATTTCATATGATAATATGTAATTCAACAAAATAAATATCAAGATGGCAAAAGTTCTAGGTCACAAACTGATGTTTACAACATTGTGAACATTGTGCGCTATCACCATCGCTACTTCAATATTTACATTTGTAGCATATTTTTTCCGTGTACATGCAAATAATGAACTTCCTAATTATGTAAATTTAGTATAGCAATGCTAATAATAATAATAATAATAATAATAATAATAATAAATTATTAACTAATCGATCAAATAAGTCATTAGAATGCTGTGCATATAGACGTTAATTAGAAAGCAATTTATTTTTTTGATATAGAGATCAGAATGGATTAGGCATTTACTGCTTACAAATAATCGATAAAATAAAGTTTTCTGAAATTTATAGTGTGATTTATGGAATGTAACCTTTATTTAGCAAGTAGAGTTGTTTAGTTTAAACTAATACCCTAGTTGTGCGACAGCTGATGGCACATAAACAAGGTGCATAAAAGACAAAGTTTTGTATATCCAAATAAACCGCAACTTTAAATACAAGTTACCATTTTAAGTGAATATGTTCTGGGAATGAGTGCAAGTAAACAGAAAACCAATTTATATCGTCGGTTAACCTAAATCTTGTTATAAAATGTTGGTTGCTTGTGCAACTTATAAATAGAGAAGGCTTTCTGTCTGACATCTGGAAACAAAATTGAGTTATACGGTTGTTAATGTAGAATTAAAGGCATATAGGAATCTTAACCTGACATATTTTACTTGGTATGATTTCTTTGTTTCTCAAGTTTGATCTTTTATTCATTCCGAAAAATGGGGCTAGAAACAATGTATACTATAGATAGATTAATTCTTTTTAAAATTATTTAGTTCGAACTTGATTTTAATACTTACACACACGTGATTTTCTCAGAATAACTTTAACGATCCACAAAATTATTTAATGTATTTTTATAGCATGATAAAAAGTGCGAAAGCTGTTTTGTAACGTCTTCTAGAACTTAGCATGAAACTACTTGAATGAGTGCTTCATTACACTACAAATTTATATAGACAATGCGTCGAACGACCTACTTAGCGTTATGAGATAAACACATCAACATTTTGACATTTAGGGTGTATCTGAAGTTGGAAAATCAGGACCAGAAATAAGTTTTACTAAAAGGGAGATGACAGTGGTTAAAAAATCACGATCTCAATCTAGCATTATAAGCCAAATTTCTGTGAATTAAAATAGCTATTCATATAATTAGTATGCCACTGCTTTTATAATTTAGCATAAATAAATATATACCATCGTTTGATAAAAGATATTATTTAACTGTGTTCTACATGAGCTTACCATTTGTATGGCATTCAAGGTTTTGCCATATTTAGCAATACCCAACAGCAAAGTTTTTTCTATACCCACTGGACATTCATCAGCACAACCTTTTGCATCACCGGATTGTAAAAATTTCTCTTTAACTTTTCTAAGAAAAGGTAAGTCTATGATAACAGTATGTAAAGTATGATATAAATTACCTGCATAAGTTGGCTTTAAAATAAGGTCAATAGCGTCTGCCCATTTTGAGCGAATAAGAAATCTGTCAAATAATAGAAACATTACGTTAACTACGATAAAGACAGATAAAAGAACAAACTATGTCAGAGTGAATGACTGTTTTTGACAACTTTGTCAGACTACAGTTATAAATTCAAAATAATTGTGTTACCATAAACAAAATATTGGTGTCAAACTAATCCATGTTATAAATCGAAAATAGCATAGTTCACTTCGACTGAGTCTGAAATACTATGAAGTGCTTTAGTCAGCAAACGAATATCTCGCCTACGGCATAAGAGACGCAAGTTGGCAAAAGTCAGTCGAGCCTTCTGTATCCATGCTGAGATTTCATCAGTCACCAGGCCATTAGCACTGATGAGACTCCAAAGATAAGTGAAGCGGTCTACACGCTCGACTACTTCACTCCCTATCACTAGTTCAGGTGCCGATGCAACCCAATCTTGAAGCAACATTTTGCATTTCGAGGGTGAGAGCCACATCCAGAACATGCTTGGATTGTTGCTGCCCACCACTGTTCACGATTATTGCGTAGGCTTTTTATCAGCCTGCGCCTAAGTTGACATCGTTCTTCATCATGTTCACAGCCAGGTGGGATCAGTTTACGAGCGTCTATCAGTTTGGTAGATGCTACTGAGATCCACGGCATCTTTTTAAACTTATGGTTCACCTTACTAGCTAGTATCACTGCTGTTTCCACAGCCTTTTTAATATCATTCCAACCTGCCTCCGGATGGGAATCGCTTACATGGTTGCATAACTGTTTTTCTAGTTGTTACTGAAATATATTCTTAGCTTTATTATCATTAAGTAGAGCCCTAAGAGGTTTCCTTGCGATATTTTTCCTACGTTCATTAAGACGCAAACAAATACGCGCTCGCACTAGAGCATGGTCTGAGTCTAAATAAGTGCTCCAGAATGAGCGGCAGTCTTCAACAGAGCCTCTCCACCGATGCCTTATAGCTGTGATCTAGTTGGGTCCAACGTTGGGTCGGCTTTGGGGTCGCCAGGTCAAAAGGTGTTTCAACTTATGCTTAAAGTTTGCTAGAAATAGGCGGTTATCTGAGCACAGTTGCAGCAGACGGTTGTCATTATGTTTTACTATCCACGATCCACCCAGGTGTTTTTCCTTTTCACCTAGTCTACCTACTTGGGCATTAGAGTCGCCAGCCATTATTACCATATTTTAAAGAAGGTCAGACAGGATTCTGTAAGACTAATCTTTTACCTCGTCCAATCTGAAGTCAGTGGAAGCATAGGCAGAGACAACAAAAGGCGAAAGCGAATTTTCCCATCTTTATGGGTCATTACTGTTCCGTTTAGTTGGACAGCGAATAAGCGACTGTCTACAGGGATCCAGTCTAGGAGAGCTAGTTCTGCCTTACAACTTGATATTATACTTTCACAAGCGAGGCCACGGGAAGCAGCATTAGGGCTACCAGAAACACGATGCGTAAACCGTGTTGTTTCTCTATCTGTACTAGGTGAAATGAAATTTATGATTTTACTCGGATATTGTATGCGCGTTTCGGAGATGCAACAGACATCCACAGCACGAGATTCCAGAGTCCTAGCTAATGAAGCTTATTGACCTGTATGGCACAAAGTTTGAACATTAAAAGGTCCAATATGTAATTTAGTGCGGGGTTTCAGGAGACGAGGAATAATATTTCGTGAGCTCAAATCGTTTGCTTCAGTAGCGCGAGGTGAGAAACAATTGAAAGAAAGGTTGATCGAGGAGATAAGAGAGTTATTAGACGTAGAAAGGATTTGATTGTGACCAATTTGGTCTCGTGTGCTTCATGGGTATGAGGGCGAATGCTACTTCTTGGTTGCCTACAACGTGGAGGGGTTCTGGTTGTCAAAAGGGCGTCGGCCTCATGACTTCTGAAGGAATTCGGCTTTCATCATGAGACGACATAACTCTTCTAAATGAAGACCTTATAACTCCCACAACAGTTTATATGATTCGAATTATTTTTTTTAGCGTCTTTTAGCGAGTTGGTTTTTTCCGGGATGAGGTCACCAATCCCAATCCCAACCCTCCTCCTTTATCCGGCCTTGAGACCGGCAGTAGCCCCGAAAAGTCTACAGGCGGAGTTATATATATATTTACTAGGACAGCCATCTAATATCAGTAGCTAGCAAAAATTGGATCAAATTGGGTAAACAAATAGATATTTATGAGACAGAATGACTAAATTTATCTTACTTTCCAACTTCGAAACTTTTGGATTTAGAAGAATGCCCAAATCTTTGAAGACCATAGTAGTTTATAAAACCAGTACTCTTCCAAGTCTCAACTGCTATCTCAACGACAGATCTTGGTGCACACACTGATCTGTAAGTGAAGAAGTAGCATCACGGCAAAGCTGATAAACTAACCTTAGCACAACTACAAACTGATTTCCGTCTAAATCTCCGAGGAACAGAGGAGAAGAAACGTATGAAAAATTGCCTAGACGTAGACCATGGAGCCGATTATTCAGTAATGATAGTGTTTTCGAATTGATACTACATGAAAATTGGTTATATGAATTAATTTTACCCTTTCGCTGTAACAAATTGTGTGGTAATTGCTCGACGATCTTTGGTGCCAGCAAATGAAAATATACTGGGTCCAACACTTCAAAATTAAAAGGGAGTAACCAGATAAAACATACTGAAGGAAACGACTGAGAACTTGGATAGCACTAAGCGTATCTTTACCCTCCTTGTAAAGTACAAAATGGCAATATGGTGTACTTTTAGTCATACCATTGGTTCTTTCTCTTGATCGTGAACCCTTGACTAAAAGCGATAGAAATAACAATTGTGGTTTTTGAAGCTAACCTTCAGGGTGGTTTTTTCGATGTACAACAATGATATTTTCACTGCCTTCTTTTAATGTTGTGCTTTCAAGTGATGGAAACAATGCACGTATTGCTTGGTGAATCTGTGTTCTTTCTGTTTTATCATCTGGGGCCTATTTCTTTTTGTTATTTGAAATGACTGGCGTACTTTAATTTTTAACACTTCAGTATCACCATGACTCAACCTTTCAAGTTCAGACATATGAACGTCAAGTTTTTCTTTCATATTAAAGTCAGTAACCTAGTATATAAATAAGTGTTTTTAGAACGTACTTCAGGAGCGGGATCCGGGATTGGTGCTAAGTTAGTAAGCTTTGCATAATTTTGACCTCTGAATTCACGGACAATGAAGTCTTCCCATCTGTACGACTATATGACATGCTCAAAAGCAAAAATACCTATTCTTCAAAGTTGCATCGAAACCTTTGACTAATGGCTGCACGAACTTACTGATTCCAACTTCGCTCGGTTGAAGGATGTCCATTTTACGGTCAGTACTGTCAGTTTCTAGTGAACACAATTTAATGCGCTTGGGATCCATGAGTAAATCAAAACTAAAAAGCAGTTTAGATAAAACAAGATTAAACCAGTTCAGCGAAATATTATTTCAAATCTGCAGATGTATGAATATATCAATAATAAAGAGCTTGAAACTAAACACGAACTGATTATGCAGTGTACCAATTTGCTAAAATTTCATTAACAAGCGAGTATGCGTAGGACATTTTGTACATTACAAGTTTTATGGTAAGACGCGCCATGAATAACCTGGAGTTTTGCATGACGCAGTTCTGAGGGATTTAACCAGTCAATCAGTTGTACGCAGCGAAAACCTGCGACATATTCGCATCGGCTTATTGGTCATACTATATTGGCACTGTTAGAAAGATATTATCGAGACAAATGCTGCAGTGGTAAGACTTGTACTAGTAGCAGTAACATAAAGAACAAAGGCAATTTGATTCGAAAAAAAGTGAATTTACGGAATAAAAATTACGAAAGGATTTAAAACTCAGAATCTAAGGGAAGACAATGAATGTATCTGGGCAATTTTGACTGATTTTGGGTAACGTGTCTCAAAGTTTCCAACAACTGGTTACAATAATAGCGCATACCCCGAACAGATAGCTTGAAATTAGCATCATTGCTAAATCTAATAGTCAATGACTTAATAGACAAGTCACAGATTCCGTTAGGCCACCCCTATTTTGCTTCAACCTACATCAGTTAGCAGAGCGCGTTAAAACAGGCAGTGGTTGGGCAAATTTTATACATGTCTCAACAAAATCAGTTGATAAAGATCAATCAATTTCCCGTCGTTTCCTAGTAGGCGGCAGCTTTTCTCAAGATGGCTGACTCCATAGTGCCAAGAGACACAGACGATGCTTCGGAGGCACGTGCGATTAAATACCAGTAACCTACAAATGACTGATTACCAACAAGTTCGCAGACTCTCAAGAATCAACTACTATCCAACTGATTCTTACTTCAGTCAATGAGTCAGTCAATTACAACGTAGAACATCGTACGTGCGTACGTTAGTTCAGGTTGCCATACCGCATTAGCAGAGAGACGCTAGTCAGTTCAAACCCAATAGTGATGGAGATAGCAGAAGAATTACTGGTAATGGAGAATATTAGAGATAGAAGATATTATTCCTGAAAATATAATTCAGTGAGATGACTTTAGAAAGAGAAAGATAGAGATGAGGAATTCAGAAGTTTAGAATTTGAGAGAACACAAAGAATGGATGCACTTGAGCCATTGCAAACGATTTTGAGCCGTATTTCAAAGTCGCTATCTATCAGTTACTTTCGTCTCGCGGGCCCCAAACAGGTAGTCTACATCTACCAACAAAGCTCAGTCCACTTGTCGGTGACTTCATGGATTTGTGCTATGTTTTGGATTGGCCACCCTTAGATTTCTTCTGGCTTACCTATACACCAGGCATTACCGCTCAATGAGGAGATCGGTGGTTAGCAACCCGTAACACATGTCCCAACCAACTCAGCTGGTGAGGAATCACTATTTCAACAATTGATTTGCCATCCTTACCAAGTTTCCGTCGCCTAACAACAGTACTACTAACTCGGTAGTCCCAGAATATACGATAAATCATTTTAAGAAACGGATGAACGAATACTAGTACCTATGAGTATCCTCTACTCTTACCGGCCATGTTTCAGTCATACAGTGAGACGGGGTGAACTGCTACGCAGTAAACCCGTCCCTTGGTTGGTAGACGGATATCTCTCCTACTCCATAAATGATGCAAGTTGGTACGAGCTAGTCGAGCCTTCCGTATCCATGCTGATTTCGTCAGTCACCGGACCATCAGCACTGATGAGACTCCCAGATAAGTGAAGTGGTCTACACGTTCGACTACTTCACTCCCTATCACTAGTTCAGATGTCAACATTAGCTAATCTCGAAGTGACATTTTGTGTTTTGGGGGGAGGGGACTTGTATCCCAAACGTGCTTGTATTGTTGCTTAAGGCGGTCAGCAGACTGCATTTTGTCATGATTCTTACTTAAACTCACTGGAATCATTGCAGATGAAGTAAGTTTATAACTCAAGGAATGAACTTAGGGCTATCTTTGTGACCGAAAATGAAGCTAATGCATTGTCCAATCAGTAACAGTGCCACGAAAATACATTTGAAAAATGCATATCTAGCCCTATTACTGTAAGATATGAAACAATGGTTTTGTGGTTATAACCTAACTATTTGGCGTGGAAAAATGAATTTTTAGCATTGCTTTATCAATAGGTTGTGAGAATTCATCTGTGTGAGACAGTGTCATGAAAAATTGTAGGCTAACAAAAGATTAGTAAACCAGTAGCTTATTTATGATATTAATTGATCCACCAATAGAAAATAAACACTTATGTATTGGAATGTGAAGCGGTTATTCATTTATGATGTACTACGAAGTGACCTTAGCAAGATAGAAGGTTTAAGCATGCTAGGATGAAAACTGTTAGTTGGGCATTCTTCCAGCCAAACGCATGTTGCTAAACCTACGAGTAAAGCTTAGGAAGCCATATATAAACAAGCAGGCATTCTATACAAACAAGCCAGCGCAAGCGAACAATTTTTTAGATTTTTGATGTTTACAGTTTATACCGCTATTCTAGCTATCGAAATCGTTAGCTGAAAATACTAGATAAGATAAGTCGGTATCTATGATATTTACAGTAAAAGCATTAGTTATATATATAAGGTTGAATCCGTTCATTTCCTAATCGCTTCATCCAAGAAGTTTTCCAAAAGTGATGATAGGATGAAAACTTAGACTCCAAGGGTCTCTATCTTTACCCCTATCAGTTCGTTGTACATACAACTTCACGCACGTCAAAATGACTTAAGGCCACATTTCAGAGGGGCTATGAGATTACTTACAATCACGTAAAACGTTTAGCTCTGCCTGCTCGCTACTGGTAGCGAATGGCCATTAGAGAGTTTATCAACTATCTTAGTTTTATGTATCAAAGGATAATGGAAGCCTCAAAATATAGGTGCTGGGTTAATTTATTACAAAATATAGTTCTACGCGTAATGCTTAGACAGTATCACTTTCGACTGTTAACAACACGCCAAAATGTATCACCCCGTAAGAATAAGCCGCGCTAAGTTTGCTAACCTTATACCACACTTGTAGGAATCAACTTACTACTTGTACCTGGTCGCAGATCATGATCAATAAATAAATCTTTTATTCTTCCTATGAAGTCTGATGTTCGTGAACATAGTGTGGTTTGTCCCTATGTGGTGATTCATTTCAGTGCGAAGTGTACTGATATGGGGTCTATGTTGATCACTTCGAATTCCATCCAGTGGTATCTTTCTAGTTCGAGCATTCGAAAGGTGTGATTCTGTATACCCCCAGGCTACTTGCAACTTCTAGGGAATATTTGTGGGACATACTGTCTTGTATCAAGTAAAATGCAGAGATGGTCGAAACTAATGAGTAAGTTTTGTTATTATTTTTAACTTCTCACAAGTTTATTAAATGTATCTGAAAAATGTATTGAATAAGGAGGTTTTTTAAGTTGATCGATAGTGGTTCTTTTGAATAATTCATGTCAAGCTGATTACCGTTCACCACTTACACTTGTCTGGACGCACGCCTCCTGACTCTGTAGGGTTTCGTTTAATATTTGTCCAGTACATGTAGTTGCACATATTTTTAGCTCACACTAAACACAATATTAGTTCCCAGTCATACACGGACACCTTGGACCTAAATCTGAGGTTCTTTGAAATAATTTTCCTATATTATCAGGATTGTGGATATAGATATATTTAAAGCTGTGAATGGGGAGGTTTCTGGAAGTTGCATGTAATTCACATAATTCTCACATAATCGCTTTATTTTCTATTAATTCATTCATTCGGATGGATTTTGAAGCATTACCGAGTCAAGATATTCAGATTACAAAGAGCAATTGTATCCCATATACTAGTAACACCCAGAAATGTCCAAATCGTACTTTGGTAGTCACATATCTACTAGTACTGAATTTAAGAAGAACTAGATCGGCACAAATGAAAGAACTGTTTTACAAATTTAAGTTGAGTGCGAAACAATGTACGGAGTCACTGTTGTACACAATCATCCCATATAGCTTCATACTTCTTTGGACTCAGCATGAATATCTCGTTTAGTAAGAATTCCGGTAGATATCAGCATCCTAACGACGGTAGGGGACTGTAGGTTATCTTTTAAAACTGACTTATTCAGAACTTGAAACCTTGAGCCTGCTATTCTCAAGATGTCATGACTTGTGGTCGGCTTCACTGCTAAATGAGCTACAACAAATGGTAAAATACAGCGATTGCATTTCATCATCAGGACCAAAAACGAGTGGAATTATCCAGGGAAGTGTATTAGGTCCAGTCTAGCTTCTCAAGTACGTCAAAGATACGTGCAAAAGTATAAAATTTGTAAGATCATTTCTGTGTGCGGATGATCTCAAAATAATCTACAGCTTTAGGCCTGAAGATTAGAATGGAAATATAGCCTACAATCGAGATGGCCCCGACAACCACCTACCTTTCAAGGACAGAACTAGGCAACTGAAATTTAACTACAGAGAATTTGAGATCATGCATTTTGGTGAGCACCACCATGAAATACAAGTTTACTTACAAAAATGTAGGATTCAGACACTCATATCAACGCACGATATGTGTATTGATTACTCAGGAAGCCTAAAATTTGGGATAACATGCCTCTTTTAATATTTCTAAGCCAGGAAGGCTTCAGGGGTTCACAAATAAGAAATTCTTGACAAAGGAC